CAAACAAATAAATAAATAGTACAGAGAATGAATTGTTTGTGCTACGAGCCTGTTTTTCTACTCAAAGTAAAAGATCTGATCTGGTCCTGATGGCCTTTGTTACCTCTTTGATAGATCTCAGTGTGTGTTGAAACATGGGCAACCCTCTTCTTGTTGTTTAATCTTAGAGCAGGAGTACCTAAATAACAAGTAACATATCTTTCAAGCAACAGCAGTGTAAATTGAATTTATTTAACCTTTTTTTTTCCAGTCCAGGAAGAGGACTGTTTCTTCCAAAGCTAATGAGTGCTACAGCAAAGCTAAATGAGCTATTAAATTTTGGCATATCTTCAGAACTGTATTTCTGAGGACTGCCTGTTGTTGCCTTAAATTCTTGCTGTTTGGTTGCATTTATTTATCAATGGCTTCAGTCCCATCAAATTAAGTCAGATGGAGTTTTTGGTTAAGTCAGATACAAAATGCAGATTCAGTGATGAGGCTAATAAAATCCCATTCAACTGAATTCATAGGACAAAATGCAGATTCAGTCTTTTTCACATGTGCTGAATCGTAGAACAGGACCTTTCTCCATAGTGCGGTCCGATATGGCTGTGATCTAGTGCAGTTGTTCTTAACCTTTGTTAGGTGTTTTTGAACTGCAACTCCCAGAAACCTCAGCCAGCAGAGCTGATGGTGGAGGCTTCTGGGAGTTGCAGTCCAAAAACACCTGAGTAACCCAAGATTAAGAACCAGTGAGCACAACCATCTGGGTCGAGGTGCTCTCGTGGGAAACATGTGTGGCTCATTTGATTAAGAGGTTTTAAGCATAAACGTGTGTGTGTATGTTTGTGTGTGTGTATCAAAAGGACTTGAATTTCTCTGGATCTTGGCCATTTTGTATCATTCATTCTAACATAGTTTTTCTTAAAAAGGATAAACAAATAATTTTGTCCCCTCTTTGTGCAGAAAGAAATGGAAGCTCTTAAAGCAAGATTGGTTTTTCTGGAAGCTAAAGACCAACAATTAAGCAAAGAAATTGAGGAACAGGATAAGTTGATTCAGGCAGAGGATTCTGAACTGTCTGCTTTGCTCAGCTGGCTGCCGCTTCATGAACTGCAAGCAATAGGCAAAGCTTTGGCTGTTATTTCAGAGGCATCACATAACATCCCATGCAGTTTGGATCTTCCAGAGTCCATAAAAAGGTACTTGTTGGATGATGCTTTGAAATCTTTCTACCATTTCTGAATCATTGCTTTGCTCTAATTTATATTTCTCCTTTGTTCTTACAGAGCTTCTCACCTCATACAGAACCATATATAGGGAAAACATTGGCATACAGTTTTAGAGTCTGATGCTTAAAGAAACTGTTTGGTGCCCTAGCATGATGTTGGTGCTTAAATTGTGTTTTACTAGGAACTCAGATTTCTGAAGCTGTAGCTCCCATGATGCATTTATTAATTAGATTATTATTATTTATAACATGTATACCCTATATCTCTACTAGTAGTAGTCTTCATTCACAAAACCTAGTAACTAACCCTATTGACAAACACCAAGTATAATGGCTCAGTGAGCGGAATGTTCTACATTTTTTCTGGCATTCCTTGTTGTGCACTTATGTAAGCCAGAGACTGCTCTGTTGGAAACAATGAGGTTTCTCATTTGTGCAAGGGGTCATTTTATTTATTCAGTTATATTTTCATCTTGCCCAACTAGTGGCAGGGCCACTACTCTGAGTGGCATACAAACAATATCATATAGACATGCAGAAGCCAAAATAAAATTGACATAAAACAGCAACAAAAAACATAATCTATAAAAAATTAGGAACATTAATACTAAAGCAACACCAAGGGGAAAAATTAAGTGCAGTATATTATAATCTTAAGGAGCAGGAAACAACATGTTCATAGGAAAAAAAGAAAAACAAACACCTATTACTGGATACAGGATTAATCTGGATTTAGCCCAGAAAAGGCTTGTGAGAACAGTCAGGTTTTTAATCTGTCTCCTAAAATCAAGGTGGGACAGGGCTAATCACACCTTTGATGGGAGTGACATGGGTTAGTGAATTATGCATTTAGACAGCGTTCCGTGTCTAAATCACACTGGCCATGTGACCACGGAAAGATTGTCTTCGGACAAACGCTGGCTCTATGGCTTGAAGAGCGGGATGAGCGCCGCCCCCTAAAGTCGGACACGACTGGACAAAAATTGTCAAGGGGAACCTTTATCTTTACCTTTAAATAAAAAGATAAATGCATGTGGAACAGGCTATGCCATACCTGGAAAAATCAAGCAGGCTACTGGCCATTTAAAGACAACAAGGATGGATTCAACCATAAAATAAAATAAAATAAAACAAAGCAAAACAAAACAAAAAAGTCTGTTAAAATGAAATAAATCTACAAACAATTAACATCCCAATAAATTAGACAGCATCAATAATCAAGATTGAAAATATACATCTTCACACTTTTCCTAAATAACAGTGAGAACAGAAATGGTTTGCAACTCTGACAAGAGTGCATTCGAAATCTTGGAGCAGCATATGGGAAACTTCTTCCCCATGTGCCTTTCAAACAGGCCTATGCAGCTATATTTTCAAGAGGGCATCTCTTGAAGATATTAACATCTGGCTAGGTTCATATCAAAACAGGTGGTTGCTTAGATAGCCTGGCCCCAAACCATTTGGAGCTTTAAAGGTCAAAACCAGCATTTAAAACTGACTCTCTGGTAAACAGTTAGCAACCAGATCTTTCAGCACTGGGGACATGTGATCTCAATATCCATGCAACCATGATGGCATGGTAGAAACTGTCAATATTGGGAGTTGCTTCACATTAATACTCTGGTTTCTCTTCAGATCATATAGATCTTTCACATTAATGCCTTCCCAGATGAAACAGTTTCCATGTGGCTTTGTTTTTAAGAGGCTTCCTTATTGTAAATTATTTAATGCAAAGATAGCTAATCTTTTGTCTCCATGCTCTTCATTCCTCCTGGTTCTTGTTCCATATCAAGAGGATTATTATTTACAAACAGAATCAACCAACCAACCATATATTCAAAGCCAGTCTTTCATGATCATCTAGATTTCTAGACCTTTCTGTTCACTATGCAGAAAAATGGAGAAACTGCTTTTTTAAAAAAAAATAGATGAAATTGACGAGGTTCAGATGGATCAGTTGCATATAGTATTGACATTTATCAGTGGTTTTGATTACTATTTCTCAACATTTTTACGAGGACGTGGAGGTAAATGCTGGGAACGAACTAGCAGCTTATAGATCAGTCAATTGCTGTCGGTGCTATCATGTATGTAATTGATAACAAGCAAATTTAGCAAAGAGTAAATCTTTCTTTTCGTTGATGGAAAAGATCCATTTTCTATAATCATTGTGGGGGTACTCTTTGGATTAAGAAAGTTATGTCTATTAAAACAAAATGAAACAGCCAAGCCTATCACTTCGGTTCTCTGAAAGTATCTTGCTTAGTTGTTACTGCTCTTGCTGAATATATTCTTTTCCTCTTGCCTTCCTTATAGTGTATGCAAATTTAATGCCAAAACTCTGACTTCCAGTTGAGTGACGGAGTAGGAAGCTAAATGGCAGTTTTAAATGGTGCTGAGAGGGTTGGATTATTAGGTTTTAAAGAACCTAAACACCTTGCTTTCATTTCTACATTTATCTTAAGTGAAGCCCTTGCTAGTTAAAAACGGCTCTTATAAACATTTTCTTTTGTAATTAAAATTAATATTGTCATTTGGCAATGTAATTTTACCTTGACGTTCCTGGTAACCAACCAGCAGCAATAGCATTTGTGGTCTTCTCTGATAGAATTTAATTCAAACAGAAGAGGAAATGCTCAGGGCCCCAAAGTCTTCCTAATTAGAATATTGTTCTGCCATTTAGCAGTCTGGGGTTGATGACATAGGCTTTCCGAGTGAAATTGTTTCATAATTTTGACATAGAGCTTCTTACAGAAATTAGAAAGAAGAAAAAACTTTGATTCTTTAATATATTCATCAGACCTGTGAAAATAGAACCAGAAAATAGATCTATAAAACAAGGAATGAAACATGGAAACATAATAGTATTCACTGTGGGTAAACTGAATGGACTAGAATAAGATATTTTCAATCAGATAATTATAAAGGGCTTTGTTCTGGAAATGGCCAACTCAGAAAAAACAGGATCTCTAATAGTGTGCCATGTTATAACACAATCACTAATGGACTGCAATGTGAGGTCTGACTGATTAACATCAATCAAACCGCATGGCAAACCTATCAGCATAACCATCATTCAAGTCTACGTCTAAACTATAGATGGTGAAGATGGCACTGAAAGGTTCTGTGCAAGTGTCCAGGAGGAAACTGATCACACACCAGAACAGGATGTGTTGATAATCATAGATGACTTGAAGCAAAAGCAGAAAAGAAATCAGAACCAAACATTATGGGAGGATTTTGTCTAGGAAATTCAGTGTATATCCTGGTTTTTATCTTAAAGAGGTAGTCAGCTTCAACAGCAGCATAATGGGCGAGTCTGAACATATTAAATAGAATATTGCATGTACATTCAGCTTTATGTGGTGACTGCCCTGGGTCCCGTGTGTTGAGAAAACAACATACAAACAAGTGATTACAAGATGCCAGGAATGTTAGCTTAGAGCAATGATGGCAAACCTTTTTGAGCCCGAGTGCCCAAACTGCAAAAAGCCAAAAACTAACCCAGCGAGCGGCGGCAGCAGAAGCGGAAGTGACAGTGGAAGTGGGAATCCCAGGCATGGAGCTGCCTCCAGGCCCCTTTCTGGATCCGCCTCCAGTCGTGCCCAACCCCACCACTACCTACAGTTGGGCTGGCACCAGCTGCTCCAGATCCTGGCCTGCCACCTGTCGGGGCTCTAGCACCGTGGCTGCAGCCTCCACCTCAGGTTTGGCTGCCAGGGGTAGCGATCCAGCGACTTATGGCTCTGCGTGCCCACAGAGAGGGCTCTGTGTGCCAGCTGTGGCACGCATGCCATAGGTTCGCCATCACTGGCTTGGAGAATCACAAGCTTGCATACTCGGACATAGTTCTTAAAGAAAAACTATTTGCTCCTCAGATGCAGGTAGAAGAAGCTTTGAGGACATACAGCCCAGCAAGTAACACTGTATTATCTTAACTTGGATAGTAATTATATACTCTATTGCCTGCACTTTTGATTCTGTTCTAAACATTTCTTATACTTCCTCTTATCTTCCTAACAATTCTTTGCGTTCTTAGAATTCTAAGAAGCTTCTCACACTCTCTCCCAGTACCTTTTAGAGGTCACATAGATTTGTGTTACTGCCAGAGTTAAAAGCAGCACCGTTTAACAGCATAATTTTATTTGTTTTCCTATTCATTAATTTATACATAGAAATTTGTGTTGATTGGCTGACTGAATCTTGCTAAAAACCAGAGCCCAAGTTTTGTTATTATGTATTCACTTCATATATTTTCTAAAAGTTCACAGTTAGATTGTGCTATTGGGATTAAAGGGCAACTTTTTAATCATTAAAATGTTTGGTAGAATGGAAACATCTGCATACAATTCAGTATGATTTTACATCATGCATGCTGTTTTTTTGCAGTACAAATTTTGTTCAAGAAGCACTCTAGTTGATCTAATTAATCAACTACAAAGTACACCAAATGGTATATAAGTTCACAATACAACTTTAATGGTGGCGATGGGTAGTCCATTTCCTTCTTAAAAGATTGCAAGATAGCACATTGAGAGATTCATAGACTGGAACTGTACCAGTGCCAAGAAAGTATTGATTGCCAGATTGATTTGTATTGTGCAGACTGTGCTGAAGGGCAAAGAAATCACTCTGTTTCAAACTTTTAATAGAATTTGTTATGTATTTTCCATTGATGTAAGCTTCAGCAGATATAATCCCCTAGAGTATTGCACTTGTCTACTTTAAAAGGAGTTTGGATTAGATCTATTTTGAAGGTCATGGCTTTCAAAATGCCATTTCTGGAAAGACTTCGAAAGACTTTGGTAGAACCTGCACAGTGCTCTATTTTGGAGTCTCTTGAACAAGTAAAATCTAATCTCCCTCAGTCGTCTATATTTGTCTGTTCTTGTTTCATCAGCTGCTCATGCTAGTGGCAGAGGACTTAGCTGTAATTGGCCAAAACCCCCTGTTTTTGCTATCTCTCCCTCTCATATCTCTCCTCAGTTTTATGTGGAAATGGGATGCTAGAAGATTAGATACTACTATGCTAGACCTCACTGGGGAGAAGAGGGGATGGGAAGCCCCATGAGGAGGGCAAATACAAGAATGAAGAGGTTTTCTTCTTCTTCTTCTTCCTCCTCCTCCTTCTGCTGCTTGCGTTTTCCCCAACTTTTGACTACAGAGTGGTTCTGCTGCTTGCATTTTCCCCAACTTTTGACTACAGAGTGGTAAGTGTAAAGATCAGCAGCTTAACTGCTGCAGTTTTGACCAGTTGAAGCTCCTAATGCCCTTCAAGTATGCCCTAAGACAGAGCACACTGCAGTAGCCTAGACATTATGTAACTGAAGCATAGATCATGATGACCAAGTCATACCAGCCAGGGAAGATCATTGTGGCATGCTAAACAGGGTTGTACACTTTGGTTCAGTCATCAGTCCAAATGGAGACTGCAGCCAATAAATCAGAAGAGGACTGAGACTCAGAAGGACAGCAATGGAGGAGTTAGAAAAGATCCTCAAGTGTAAGGATGTGCTACTAGAGACCAAGACTAAGATAATCTACACTAGTGCCCTCCAATCTTTTTGACACCAGGGATGGATTTAATTGAAGACCTTTCTCCCAAGGACCGGGGGGGGGGAGGGATACTTTGAATCAAGCTCATTACATGTATTGTTCTGGGACAGATGAACAGTGAGTAGGAGCAGGAGGTGAGCTACAATTGAAGCTCCACCTCCTGTTAGTTCAGCAGCCGCTTAGAACCTAATAGGAGCGCAGATTCCTAGTTCAGCACCAGCTTAGAACCTAATAGGAGCGCAGACTCCTATTAGATTCTAATGCCACAGGCATAGCTGATCTAGCAGTAGCAGGAGGGGAGCAGGGAGCAAATCTCTGCCTCCTGTCAAATCAGCAGCGGCATTAGAACCTAATAAGAGCACGCTGACAGAAAGCAGAGCTTTGCTTGCTGCTCAACTCCTGCTCGCCGCTCATCTGTCCCAGCAGCCCAGTCCTTCAAAAGCCATGGACGGTACTGGTCTGCTGCTCGGGGGTTGGGGACCCTGATCTACATGACTGTATTTCCCATCGTCATGTATGGATGATGATGACAGGGAAAAATTGATTCATTTGAAAGGTGGTGATCATGTATGGATGATGATGACAGGGAAAATGGATTCATTTGAAAGGTGGTGTTGGAGGCAAGCTTTGCAGATTCCCTGGACTGCTAGAAAGACGAACAGGCGGGTTCTAGATCAAATGAAGCCTGAACAATCTCTGGAGGCAGAAATGTTGAATCTGAGGCTGTTCTGCTTTGAGCACATCACATGAGGGCAGGATTCTCTGGAAAATATAATCATGCTGGGAAAGGTAGAAGGCTGTAAGCAAAGAGACAAAATATGAGATACATTCAGTCTCTAAAAGAAGTCTCAAGCTCAAATTTACAAGAGCTGATAAGCAAAGAGACCAAATATGAGATACATTTGAGCTTGAGACTTCTTTTAAAGTCTCAAGCTCAAATTTACAAGAGCTGAGTAATGCAGTTGAGGACAGGCTCATTCATAGGGTCACCATAAATCAGAGGTGACTTGACAGCACATAACAACAACAAATGTTGTTTTGCAAAGGCAATCTTCATCACTCTTGCCATGTGAAAATCCAAAAGCAGCTTAGGCTCAAGGAGGAATCTCAACTAACAAACCTCATTTTTGAAGAGGACACAGACTTTCTAGAATATATTGAATTCCAGCCCCTGCGTCAGACTTTCTATTAACTATCAACTTATTGGAGTTTAATTTCAACTTGTTCTTTATCATCCAGCTCAGTATTGAACCTGGACAATGTTCAAAGCTATTCTCTCTCTCTTTGGTGTTAAATGACAAGGAGCAATACAACTGTCATCAACATATTGCGGCACCTCAGTCCAGAACTCCAGGTGGCTTCCCCTATAGTTTCACATAGATATCGATTAACGTGAGAGACAGGGTATAGGCCCCTCTCCATCTCCATATGCCAAGGACCTTAGTGTTAAATAAACAGCACCACCTGCTGGACACAACAAGAAAGACTGGAACAACTGCAATATAGTCTCCCCCAATGCTTTACCCAGCCAGAGAATCCAGGAAGATACTTGGCTAATAGTAGTGAGAGACACTAAGAGATCCAGGAAAACTAATAGGGCCGCAGGCACAGTCCTTGGGCACAGGTCATTGCCTAGAGCATCCTGTCCCATATCTCAGCCAGAAGTCCATGCAAAATTGATTTGGTAGGAAAATGCCTGATTATGGTGAATTCTCAGGGATAAGAACAGGAAATAGCCTGTGCTTCCTCCATTTGTATTCTGCTCTTGCACTGAAGAAGCCTGTGAAGTGTAGAAGCAGTACAGAAGAGGCTGTAGGATGCTTTCACTGCCAGGTAGAAGTAGTCAGGCCCAGATCTGCTTAACTTCAATGAGGAATTTGACCCATAACTCTACTGGCTGCAAGTGAAGTGAACACTCAAGTCATTGCAACCTATGTCTGAACAGATGTCTATAGGATTAAATCTGTAAGAACTTTGGATATGGGTGTAGAAAAGATGTGTCTGAAACTTTCTGTTCCTAATAGTTTTCAGTCTAAATGTTGTAACTCCACATAGAGATCACCCAAACTATTTCACTGTGGTGACATCATTATGTCTTCACTGAAAGTCTATTTTGAAAAAAATTTCCATTCCAGTCTCATCTTATCTTTTCTATCTTGGCCATAAAATATTTATTGATCAATGTCCCTATAGAGTTTATTTGGGAATTCTTTTTTTGAAGAGGTAATATTTTCTTGTTATTATTTTTTGAAAAAAAATGTTTTAATATGTAGCCTGCTCCAGCCCAATGATTCTGCATGGGAAAGAACAATTAAACACCCAATTAAACTAATTTAAATAACAATTTAAAAATAATTTAATTAATGTGTAAAATATAAAATGTTTATTAACAAGATGTGTGTGTATATGTGTGTGGAATGAAGCACATGCATATCTTTCTTATATAAAGCACAGTGCTTTAGAGCCCTGAAACAGGATATTAATAATTCTGTGCACAGATATATTTTTTAAAGCATGCTGAGATTTGTTTTAATTTTGGGTTTTAGATATTAACACAGATTACTAGGCTATCAGGAACAACAAGTGAAACAGATGTATTTTAAAGGTTTCAAACGTCTCCTTGGAGTTAAACATGTGAGACCAGTTTGACTTCTGTACTATTCTACTGACCTTGATGATTGGATCATGCCAACCATTTAATATTAATTTAATCTTTCTAGGCTTCAAGAAAAAGAACATTCACTCAATATGTCTATTAAAGATACTGTTGCTAAAGTAAGTGCACTTTAAATTACTAATGTATTCGGTGGGTGAAGAAACTGAGAGATGGGGGAAATTCAGCTTTCTTTGTCAGTGCATGGGAACAGATGACTGGAAATACGAAGGGCAGTGTTTGCTCAGTAAGGAGAAAGAAGCAAAATGTGCAGTTTATCTTTTGTAAGCAAAGTCTTCAAGGCCAAGTCAGCTTGTTCCCAGGTACTGTGCTAATTGGACCATAAATTCAGCTGTGTGAATAGGTGGGTGGGACAGAATGTGCTCTTGTTTTCATGAATATTAGGGGGAACTCAATACCTGATTGGCAGACTGTGTGAAAGGATGCAGAATGTGACATTTAATTATTTTAAAAGGATTCAGAAGTTTAGTTGGCCTAGCTTACCTCTCAGGAGATGCTATGCTCAGTAGCTGTCCTGTTATGCTGTGCCTGGAAAGATTTACTCTGTGTGTGCTCCAGGATTTTGCTTACTCTTCGCTAATGTGTGAATATTAGGTAGATTATATTAGCTTTTTTATTTTCTGGTGCTCTTTTGATTGCTCAGTTTTTCTCTCAAATTGTCTTTTTTTTGTGGGGGCTTTAAATGCATTTTGAAGCCTTTTTGAAACTTTTTGGAACCTGGGCCGTTTTACTCTCTTTAAAACAATATTTAAAAAATTGTCTTAGATGGTTTGTGGTACTAAAATCAGGTGCTGCCTTGACCAGGCACTAGACGTTTGGGCATTTTTGTGGATGTGGTGGGAGTTCTACCTTGCAAGGTGGGTGCAGTGCTGCTGAGGGTCTTGACTGGAAGATTTTTAGACTCTCTGGCATCATTGCCAAGTCTTGCTACATAGGCTCAAGCTGCAGGAACTCAAATTTAGGATGAATATAAGGAAAAACATCTTAACTGTTAGAGCAGTACAACAATGGAACCACTTACCTTGTGAGGTGGTGAGTGCTTCAAAGCTGGAGGCATTCAAGAGGAAATTAGACAAGCATCTGTCAGATTTGCTTTAATTTTGATTTATGCATTGAGCAGAGGGCCTCATCGTGAGCAAATTCCAATTCAATTATTCTCTTATTCTATGGGTAAACTTGAGTGTTGAGAGACACCAATTCTAAGCCGATTATCTGGTTATCATCACATTGGACTCTCCTGGGTTCAACCACTACAGGACAAACAGGGTAATGTGGCTGAGTGGCTAGAGAGGTACTCCCTGAACCTAGTATTCTGTCACATAGTGTATTACACTGAAATGCATTAGGTGGGAGTGTGAAATAGTACATTAAATATCTTATGTTTGTTGGCTCATACTGAAGAGGAGAGCTGATCATTAACCTTCATGTCAGAAAAATGTTTATCAGCTGTATGAAATAGAAGCATTGAAATATTTTTACCTGCTTTTCAGTTGATAAGGCTTCCAGAGCAGCTTATGGCTTAGTTGGTTGGATAGCTCAGTGAATTAGGCATCTAACTTGCAGAGCCAAAGATTGGGAGTTCATTTCCGCGCCGTGCCTCCTGTGAGAAGAGCCAGTCTGTGTAACCATGAGTGAGTTGCACTGTCCCAGTAGGGCCCCCAGAAGAAGGGAATGGAAAGCCACTTCTGAGTATTATCTACCTGGAAAACCCTGAAAAGCTTCTCTATAAGTCAGAATTTACTTGACAGTGCCCACATCACCACCACCAAAAATGCTGACAGATACAACAGTCCTTGCCTGTTTGTCTTCTGTTTAAAAGACAACTCACAAAAGGGGGAAAAGAATGGAGAGAGAGGAAGTAAACAAACCCAACTCAGGCACTAGTTTTAAAAGTTACAAAATGTGAGTGGAACTAGTTCAAGAAGAGTCAGAGCCAGATGGAGCTAGTCTGTCAGGCAAATCAATGCATTGGTCTCTGCTGTTCTGTCTCTCCATCTGCTGTAAATTGAGCAAAATGTAGGATTCTGATTGATGCCATTGCATCACGGGTTAATGCCATCTGGAATATGAAAAACACAACTGAACAGCACTGTCTCATCTTTCTGCAAATATATTAGAAAGCTTCATTGTTGTAGCTCCTAACTTGTACACACATGCACTAATATTAGGAGCTCCAAACTGTCCTTGCACCTGGAACACTACCACCATCTGCAAGCTCTGTCTCCTGTTCGTTGTCAGGCATTAAGAACCTAACATAAGAAGATCCCTGCTGGATCAGGCTAAGGGTGCATTTAGTCCAGCTTCCTGTATCTTTCTGGCCCCACCAGATGCCTCTGGGAGCACACGATACAAATAGATAGCTGTCTCCTGATACCCCTCCCCTGTCACTGGCATTTGGAGGTACCTTCCTTTTAAGCCTGGAGATTATACATCCCCATCATGGCTTGTACTGTAGCCTGCAATGGACTTTTCCTCCAGGAATCTGTCCAATCCCCTTTTAAAGGCATCTAGGCCAGATGCCATCACCACATTCTGTGGCAAGGAGTTCCACAGACTAACAACATGCTGGGTGAAGAAATAGGTTTTTTTGTCTGTTCTCAGTCTCCCAACACTCAATTGGAGTGGATGTCCCCTGGTTCTAGTACTGCACGAGAGCGAAAAGAACTTCCCTCTATCCACTTAATCTATCCCCTGCATAATTTTGTATGTCTCAATCATGTCCCCCCTCAGGCTAAAGAGCCCCAAATGCTGTAGCCTTTCCTCATAAGGGAGGTGCCTCAGCCCAGTAATCCTTTTTATCACTCTCTTCTGCACCTTTTTCAGTTCCACTATGTTTTTTTTTTGAGGTGCAGTGACCAGAATTGTATGCAATACTCCAGATGTAGCCCTACTGTTGTTTTGTACAATGGTGTTATAATGTTGGCTGTTCTATTTTCAGTTCCCTTTTTAATAATACCTAGCATGGAATTGGCATTCTTCATTGGCACCACGCACTGGGTTGACATTTTCATCGAGCTGTCCACCAGCCCATCAAGATTTTTTTCCTGATCCATCACGGACAGCTCAGAACCCATTAGCTGATAATTAAAGTTTTGATTTTCTGCCCCAATGTGCATGGCATTACATTTTCTTATAATGAAACACATTTGCCATCTTGCCGCCCATTCTCCCGGTTTGGAGAGATCCTTCTGGAGCTCTTCACAATCCCTTCTGGTCTTCA